ACAGGCAGGCCTCGTGGCACTTCACCTGCAGCTCAGAGCCCTGAGCCTGGGCTGCCAGAGGAGGGGGGCTCCTGAGGCACCCACTGCTCACAGGGACACAGGGTGCCCAGCAGGGGCCCCCTGCAGCTGTCACAGCAGTCGTCTCCGCCCCCGCGGGGGAGGGGCCAGAAACCTGCACCACTGGTCAGACCGGAAAGTCCCCAGATGTGCTGGCCTCCGCTGGAGGCTTAGGGGCTTTTCTGGTCTCCCTCTTTTTTTGAAGATTGTGGAAATAATGCATCTTTTTTTCCAAGATAAAATCCATAAGGCCTCCTTACCTGAGGGCTTCTGAGCACAGAACCTCAACTCTCTGAGCTGCGGGGTTAGCGCAGGGGATGCACTTGCTGTGGATGGTCTGGCAACCCTGGGAATGCCCCCGGGTTGTTGGGGTGTCTGATGTACCCACAAGGGACTGATGCACCGTGGAAACCACAACTGGCCAGCACCAAGTTACCTTCCGGGGTCTGTGGGCACAAATTGGGCTCGCACTAAGTCTGTAATCACGTGCATGATTCAGGGGAAGACTTGACTTCTCTTTCTTTCGTATTTTTTCTTGATCTCTTTTATTGCCTAGGCAGAAATTTTTCTAAGGAAAAAACATAAGTAAAAAAAGAAATAATTCGAAAGTTTTTAAAACTTTTTATTTTGAAATCTAAAGAATGTTTTTTTCTACCCCACCCTAAAATCTAAAGACATTTTTATTAGAAGCACCAGATGCAGACCGCCTCCCAGGGGTTAAGGCGGACCTGGCAGAGAGCCAGGTTGGAACCCAGGCAGCTGAGAAGCGTCCCCTGCGTTGAGTCCTTCCAGCAGATCGCTGGTTGTCCACTTGCGTTGTAGAAACCGTCTCTGCTAGAGAGTTTGCTACACGCCAACTCAGGTGGGGAGACCCTGTCCTTCAGGTCGCACTTTAAAGCCCCTGGTCTCACACTGTTGTCCCTAAAGGCAGGTATGGCTCATGCTGGTGTGCCCAGCTGGGAGCCCGTGGGGGAGGGTGGAAGGATCCTGGGCCATGCCCCAGCCCAGCCGGTTTGATGATTTGACGACACAGGCTCAGCTTTCAGTTTTTGAAGGCTGGAGCAGAGCCGGCTGAGCAGCGCGGGGAGCCTGCCCACAGGCGGAGGTGGCAGTGCGGAGAGAAGGTGGCGGCGGAGGCGGCTGCTCGGAGCCGAGTGGGGTAGGACCTGCAGAGAGCAGGGGCTGGGCCTGTGGCCCTCCAGGGGACAGCACTGTGGGGCTGCAGAGGTGTGGTTTTTGTTGTTGGCTATAGTTTTTGTTTCTCTTTACTTTTCTGTCTCAGCCTTTTCCTGTAAGGTAAAAAAAAAAATAGATTGCCTCCTCTCAGGAAAAGGTCAGTGTCAGTTGACCAGGTACTGGTCGGTAACATAATACCGGCACCGAAGTGCCCTCCCACCGCACTGTGCCTCAGGGGCAGAGGCGGAGGGCTGGCGGCTCAGGCATCCCAGGCGGCTCCCTCGGGACCTCGGGGTGCTCACCTTGGAAACCGGTCAGAAGCTTCTCCTCTTCCCAGAGGGACTGCACAGCCTGGGCAGTCCCGCCTGTAGTGTCATGCACAGGCTCCCATCCCCAGGCGAGGGATGGTGGCCCCAGTGTTTCAGAGCTGGGGAGAGGCCAGCAGGCAGGTGGGACCTGGGGCTGGGTGGTGGGGCAGCGCGCCAGGGCTGGGAACCCTGAGGCCTCTTCACCGCCAGGCAGCCCCCCTGCCGGCCTGGAAAGGAGGGGAGCAGACCCTCTGTGAGTGAGGAGGCTGCCGAGGCTAGAGTGGAAGTGGATTTAGCTGGTGGGGCCACTGCAGGCCGCTCCTTCCTCTCCAAGGAGGCTGAGGGGTGGCCCAGAGTCACAGTGGCACATCACAGGCGGGCACTCAACATCTGCATGTCCTCGACAGGAGAACGATGACAGGCTTTTTAGTATGTCTGCAGCCAGTCTGACATGAAAGAAAGCAGCGATGCTGCCAGGGACCGCACCGAGCCCTGGGCCAGCCCCTGGTCTGGCACTCCCCACAACATACTCATTTAGCCCTCCTGACCGGGTGATATGGGACCTGTGTCCCCACTCTACAGAGGAGGCCCTGGGGCTCAGAGAGGGTCAGCACCTTTCTCCAGACCACCCAGCTCAGTGGTGCAGAGGCCAGGATTTGGAGCGAGGTGGTGTGCTCCTGCTCTCTGCTGCCCCTTGCAGAAATGGGAGGCGCAAGCTGCCCCAGAAGGCTTTTCTGTCCAGGTGTTAGTCCATGCAGGCTGTTACAGCAGAGTGCTGTAGGTGGGTGACTTTAAGAAAACAGACACTGATTTCTCATAGTTCCTGAGGCTGGAAATCCAAGATCAAGACTCAGGTGTCTGGAGAGGCCTGCTTCCTGGTTCACAGGCAGGGCCTTCTTGCTGTGTCCCCAGCAGAGTGGAAGAGACAGACAAACTCTCTGGGGGTCTCTCTTAGAGGGACACTCATCCATTCGTGGGGGCTCCACCCTTGTGGTCTAGTCACCTCCCAGGGGCCCCACTTGCAGTACCACCACATGGGGCATTTGGTTCCAACATAGGAACTGGGGGGGCGGGATCCAACCATTCAGTCCACAGCATAGAGTGTGGTGTGAGGGAAAGCAAGTTAGAGTCACAGAACCTCACCACGAGAGTTGGCCTCTGAACCCCCTGCATCGGGGCAGACACCAGGTCCGTGGCAGCCCTGGGAGGCGGCGCAGGGGCGAAGTGGATAAGGCGACAGTGTCCCTCTGTGTGGTTTGAGATTTTTACAGTAAGAATGTATTACTTTCTACTAACTCAGAAAACCTCATTATTTTATCTTTTTAAAACCATAGTTCAAAAGCTGGGGAGTGTTTTTGTTAGAAATGTTTCATTCGGGTGCAGAACAGGCAGCTGGTCCACCCCAGGCAGTGGGTGGCCACAGCATCTGTCTCCCAGGGGGAACGGAGGGTCCATGTGGACCTGATGTGAGAAGGTGGGGCAAGAAAGCTTCTGCTCCTGTCTCCCCTGAACCCCGCTCCCGTGTGCCCTTCTCCTCGATTCGCTAGCTGCAGCAGGCTCCTCTACGGCCACGGCCACAGGGCTCAAACCTCTGTCTTTTAGTGGAGATGAGAGAACGGCAGCTTCCAGGGCATCTGGGTTGGGTTTGGCTCCTGGGCTCTGTAGGACCCAGTCCTGTTTATGGAAGAAGCTAGAATCCCGATTCTGCCGCCCACTCGCTCTGCGACTCTGGGCTAGTTGCTTAACCTCTCTGTGCCTCAGTTTCCTCACCTGTGCAATGAAGCTCATAAGTGTGCCCCCCTCTTAAGGGTGTGGTGAAGAGTGGATGAGGTGACGGTGATTAGCGAGCATCACCCTGTACAGCACTGTCAACTCCAGCTACTGTTAGAATGTCCTGCCTGGGATTCTAGAAGCTGGTCTCCATCTCCAGGGAGCTGGGGTGGACGGGGCCCACGTCGGGCCTGGTGCGTCCTGCCAGGGGCTGGGTCAAACTGCTCCCTGAGCTCTGGGCAGCCGAGACAGCCCGCACTGCCTGCTCTCACAGCAGCAGGAGCCCAGCACGGCCACTCAGCTGACGGGGAGAACAGCGCCCTCTGCAGGTGGAGAAGAAGGGTGGTTTGGGGGATTCTGGCACAGGCGGCGTAAACCCAGGCTCTGTGCCCACGTGGCAATGGTGGCTCCTCACTGGCTTCTGAGCGCATCCCCAACACAGGGCCTGCTCTGTGGAAGGAAACGTGGCCGTGCCGAGCACATCTGTTCTGAAAATGCAAGTGGGAGAGGGCGGACACCATATCACGCTGCACATGGGTGAGCCGGGGACCCTGCGCCCGGCCCGGCAGCCGCTGCCTCACCCCCTCATCCCGACAGGGAAACAGCTGATGTTTCTCCCCCCCTTTCTCCTTCCCTGCCCCCTCTCTAAAATAAAAAAAAAAACCCAATAATTTAAAAAGGAGATTTCAAAGAGCAGAGCGACATCGCTGGAGGGTTGGGCTCGCTCCCGACTAAGAAGAGGGCGCCCAGGGTGTGGTGTCCTGCGCCGATCACTCAGTCTGAGGTGTGACAGACACTGCAGCGGTGACGTCAGTGGAAATGACAGGGAGCAGAGCGGGCTGGCTCATACGAATTTTAAGGGTCGTGGCAACAGTTTCGAAGAGGCTTTGCACCTGCAACTGGGTTTTGTTTAAAAGCTGCTTTCTGGGCAGGAGGCTTTTTTGGGGGATGGGTTTCAAGCTGGTGGTGCTGGTTACCGGGAGCCGTCAGAGTGTGTGGTGCCTGAAGGTTCGAGCCACCTACTGAGAGTCCACAACGAGCTAGAACCTGTCTGCGGCCTGTACCCCTTTTTGCCGTACTGGGATTTTGCTTCTTTAAGGACCACCAGGTAGCTCTGGCAGGTGCTCCAGAGTTGTGTGCCCCTGTCTTCCTCACTGGATGGTGACTGCCTGCGGAAGGCTGCCCACCAGTCCTCACCTGCAGCGGTGAAAAAGAACCAGTGGGTTCATGTTGTCTAAATTTGCTGGGCGCAGAGAACCCGGTCACACATCCCTGGGGAGCTTTGTAGGCTGACTCCCGAGTCTTAGAGTGAAGTCGTCACCTCTTTGTCCACCCGTAACTGGGGGACCCCCAGGCCCCACGCAGCAGCAGCATCCCAGGACACCTACTGCCAGTCACACCTGTGTGTGGTCCTCCCAGCAGCCTGTGTGAACACCTCTGAGTGACTGCAAGCCAAGCAGGCAGCGTCTGGAACGGAGCTCCTGACTGCGCTTCAGAGCACTTGAGACTTGGCCTCTGGCCTTCCTGGGCTCACACCTCCGCTGTTTACTTGTGTTTGGTTTGCATAGTAACCCGTTCCGCTCGTGTGTCCCAGTGTGGATTGGAAGGACATCGTATCAGCTGGTCCCAGTGAGCACCCGCCTCGCTCCTGGAGTTTCTCATTTACCCAGAGTGAGTCAAAGTAAAGAGCCTTTCCACGAAGGGAGCTTCATTTTTGTTAGTTACTTACTTTTTTGGGTATTTAAGGCTGTTTGGGTATTTATTGGGAGGGCCGACTGGTCGAGGAGTGGAATACAAAACTTCCTGCCTCCAGGTGAGGGAAGTCACTTCTGCAGGTGCCCCCCCCCTGAGAGGGGTCCCAGCAGAACGGGACTCAGCCCTCGGTTGTGCCCCCCGGAGCAGAGTGGACGTGAGCAGGACTGGAGAATGCTTCTCTAGGACATGCTTGGGCAGTGGACTCGGTGTCTTCTGCTTCTTCCTGGGACCAGAAGAGACAGCTCTAAGGACTCATAACCTCTCCAAAGGCCGCTGGGAAGCACCAGGAGCTCCGGTCCAAGCGGTCAGTGGGAAGGACTCCCTGGGCATAAGAATGAGGTGTCAGGGGGGAACTCACTGTCAACAGTGAGGAGCCCAGTGAGGCCTCAGGGCCGGTGGTGGGGAAGGTGGTCATTAAGTGAGTGCACTCGGCAACTTTTCTTCTCCTGGAAGGTCCAGCAGCAAGGTGTTGCTGGCATCTGAGGGTTCTCTCTGCTCCTAATGCTGAGCTCAGTCTGGGTAAACAGGCTGGTGAGATGGTGTGTTCCCAGTGGGCGGGCGGCATCTCATTAACCTAATAAAAGCAGCAGGGCTGCGTGAGGGGGCGCCTGGGACAGACGTGTTTAGCAAGTGTGGAAAGCCAGGGGCGTAAAGCAGTGCAATAACTTCCTCAGCTCCTTGCTGCCGCTCTCTGGGTTAGGCAGGACACATTTTCTGAGGCCCAGATGTCAGGAATTGACACAGTGCCTTTGGGGAAACTGTGGGAAAGAAGGTGATTAACTGTGAGTTAACAAGAGTCCAAGGGGTGGAGAAGTGGGGACAAAGCCCAGGAAGCCCGGGCTCCTGGGGACTTCCTGGAGTTTCTTCCTACTTAGGAAGAAACCACGGACTGTTCCAGGGGGATCCAGGTCGAACCGGCCACACCAAGGGCAGTTAAATGCCCTGAGGCCAGCATCGGCCAGACTTAGTTTCCAACCCTGGATTGGCCAGTTATTGGTGACCCTGTGCAGAGCTTATTTGGAGCTGGTAGTGGTGCCAGGAGATCAGGGCTATTGTGACCATTAAATGAATAATTCATATCTCATATGTACCTGTCACTTAGCACGACCTTGGCATGGCCTGCCTGACATCTTCCCTGCATGTCTGGTGTGGTCTCCCCAATCCGTCACCAGTGCGTCTCGTTGGGGCTCTTGTAGCTTTTCCTAGTTTCCATGTCCACTGCCCTCCCTTTCAGACCTCAGTATTAATGTACAGGCCGTCAGCACCTTGATCTGGGTGTTCCCAGATGGGGTCCTCCCTGGAGGGACAGGACCTGGAGGTGAGGCTGGCAGAAAGGTGACCACACTTTCTTGGGGGGGGACCTGCTTGCACCTGGACTGCAGGTGAGCAGAGAGAACTGGCCGGGGAAAGGAGGCAGCCAACAGGAGAGATAGAAGGGGCACTGGACCTGGGCTCACAGGTCGGGGCTGTCCTGGGTCTGTACCTGCCCCTTCCCTGGAGGCAGGTAGAAGGGATCGTATGTTTGTCTGGAAGCTGGAGAGACACACAGCTCGCTGCATGGCTCCTGCAGGTGCCACCATGGAACCTGTGATCCCTGGTGGCCCCTGCAGGCCCAGTGGGTGGCCCCCAGGGCAGGGCTTTTTCTCTCCCTGCTCAGGTGCCTCCTTCTTGCCCTCTCCTGGTCTCGACCTTCACCGCCCTCAGTTGCTGGCTGGCTGGCTCCGGTTTCGGGGCCGGGCTTGCGGCACTAGGCAGATGCTGTAGAAGCAGCACCTGGCTGCCTCCAGACCCGACCATTGACAAAGGGGTACTTCGCAGGACGGGGGGCGGGGGTGTCCGTGGGATAGGAAAGTGAGTTTTTTTCAGAACTGAACAGTAATGCGACTGCATGTTTATCACTCATGCATCTTCATGTCTGATGGCCTCAGTAATCATACTAGTTTCACAGAGATAGTTAATCACACCTTGAGTTCTCTCAGTTGCTCAAGAGAGTGTGGAAATTTCATGAGAAACTTACTGAGCCTAAAGAAAAGCTTTAAGTTTTTAGAATGTGCCTGTCATGTCGCTGCTCTGGGGAAACCTCCAGGAGACTCTGTCCACACGCTCCCGCTGCTCTCGACTCATTGTCAGTGTGACGCAGCCGCTTTTAGGCCCAGGGCAGTGATCTGGGGATACAATGTGACATTTTCTTGTGTAATATGTCCAAGTTAGCTTTGTTCTCTCTGACTTCAATGAGGGACAGGAGACTGAAGCCAAATAGGGGTCGAGAGGTGGGCCTGAAGTCGCACGCGGGGCTCTCGGGACGAGGGGACCCCACGGCAACGGTCTGCTCCTGGACTAGCCGCACGTGTGCGCCCCGAGCCCCCCGGGGAGCTCCTGCTCAGCAGAGACACGGCTGGAGGAGGGGGAGCAAAACTCTCGCGCCAGCCTTTACTTCAACATAAATAAAACCAAGATTCCAGGCCTCCTGGGTTTGCTGAGTTTTACGCAAATAATGTGAAGGATGTGGTGAAAAGAGAACTATCTCACCACTCCTTATCATTAGTAGAGCCAAAGACAGGCCTGAGGTGCGGTTTTGGTTCTGGTCCAGCCAAGGGAGGAACCTTGGGTACTTCTTCCATCTCTGCCAGTCCATTCCCGGTGGGCGTGGTGCAGGAACCATGATGTCATCGCTGAGAGCTAACCATTTTTGGCATTTCCCGTGCCAGGCATTTTTCCAGGTGCTTTTCCCGTACCCATCCCCTACCTGTCACCACCCCCGCATGACATGGGTAGAGAGATTGTTGCCACTTTAAACTCAGCTCGGACATGGGGGCAGGTGCTAGGGTTCGGGTCCAACCTGTGCCCGAGGCTGTGCCGTGCGTTCTCTCCAGGGTGAGCACAGCAGCCTCCTGCAGTGTCACCTGGAGAGAAGGGACTCCTCCTGTGACACATGGAGGCGGGAGTGACTCAGGTATGGCCTACTGTCCCTCTGTCCTCCATCCACCCCCCATCCACTGGGGAGTTCTGTGCGCAGGCCCTGGTCAGTGCTCCTCAGGGGCCCAGGGTCCAGCGAGGAGCAGAGGAGAAGAGAAACCAGCACAGCGGCGGTGCCCTGGGCTGAGTGCTGACAGTGGGCCCAGAGGAGCCCCTGTGGGTGCTGCTCGGAGGCCAAGGGCTCAGAGGAGTCTGTGGCTGTCTGAGGGGTACAGCAACCCCACAGGCTACCCACCCACTTGCCCACTGAGGGCCTGGCCTGGCTTCCACTCTATGAACTGGCAGAAGGCAGGGGATGGGGGCAGGATATACGAGTATCTCAGAAGCCTGCAGTTGGGGAGGTGGCAGCTGGGGGGCGGGCCATGACCTGGTTGCCATTCCAGATGAGTCTCTCCGGCTACCTTGAGGAGGAGAGGGGCTGGCACCCTGAAGTGCTGGGGGTGCCGGCAAATAGCCTACCCAGAGGAAGGCAGGGTCACCTGGGTCCCAGAAGGTCCTCGCCAATAAGGACCCTCTAAATGAGAACTGGCCTCAGGGCAAAGGTCAAGCCCAGGTGCTGCCATTCAAGCCAAGGGCACCTGCTGCTCTTCACGGGGACCTGAGAGACAGAGACTCCCGCACTCAGCGATGGGCTTCACAACCTCGGGGTCCAGCATCCCGAGGCTCAGGTGCTTGGAGGGCCACCCTGCCCTGACCCAGGGTTCCTTGAGGCTGTGCCTCTCAGCTTGGGAGGGTCATTGTGCAGACGCAGAGTGCTGGGCAGCTTTCCGAGAGAGGAGGGCTTCTTTTCTTTCATTGTTTATTAGAAAGGCAGGGTGCCGTTGCTCAGCCGGGGAGCAGCCTGGTTCTCAGGCCCTCAGGGGGTGAGCACCGGCCTCGGGTCCCAGGGGAGCACGCACAGCCGTTTGGGAGCTGCTCCTCCTGGTCAGCACCTCCTCCAGCCACTTTGGGGATTAAGGAGGTGGAAATCCATAGCCAGCAAGATGCTGCTCAGGGCAAAGCCCCTTCCCAGTGGACTAAGCTTGGGAGTGATGACCCGCCTTCCATCCTGACCACTTCTCGGACCACAGGCCAGAATGTCAGTCCTGGCCAGATGCCTCTAAAGGGACCTGACAGTCACTGCCCAGAGGCCGCAGGCCCAGCGGCCCAGGTCACACTGCAGACCCTGGGTGGAGCCCAGCGGCAGTACTGGCTTTTCCTGCCAGGGGCCCTGTTGCCAGCGGGACACAGGAGCTGGGGGCTAGAGTGGGCTCAGCCAGGTAGGACGGGAGCGGCGGGGCCGTCCGTTTGGGAGTGGGTCTTTCGTGTCTTGTGCCAGGGAAGATGCACAAGGCAGCAACTTCCCTGTCACCCCAGTGTAGCATGAGGACCCCAAAGGAAGGGGTGTGGCCAGAGAAGCCTTGAGGTGCTCTCCCAATAAATCTCTCTCTTCCTGTTCCTCGTGTCTTTGTTGGGGCCCTTCTGCAGAGGGAGCAGGTTTCCAGGGGGACACTTCTGTCCCTGCACCACTTTATCACATCTCAGGTCTCTCGTGCAGATTCAGTCTCAGGCTGGGGAGATGGGAGAGGCAGCTGACCTTTGCCCACTGCTGTTCACTCCTCCAGTCTGTTTAGCCCTGTTTTCCAGGGAATAGGAGGCCTGACTCCTCTCAGAGTTCTCCACAGGGCAGTGACCAGAGCAGTCATCCACTGCGTCTGGTCTCGGAATTGGGTTTTGCCTGTGGCCTCTGGGGTGTGAGGCTTGGCAGCCCTGCTCTGGGCAGGGGACCTGCTTGCCCCAGAGAGGGTGCCCATCACCTGGAGGCCTTTCAGGGTTTTCCCAGCCTGAGGCCGAGACTGGGGTCCCCCTCACTGGCTCACCCCATGGGTGCTGTAGGGTTGTTGTGCTCTCGGAGTTTTTGGCAGCTTCTGGGTCCAAGGTCCAGGGTCAGGTGCTGGGGCGGGGCTCTCTGACCTGCGTCCCCTCTAAGCCTTGTGACACCACCTGTTTACAGCGGCTCCCAGTGAAAGCTGCTTATTGGATTAGTGGGTGCCCAGCACCCCGCAGGGGCTGAGGAGAGGCCCTGCTTTATGCGCTGCTTTGGGGCCCTGCTTTCATTTGATTTGGCTTCCAAGACATGCAGGGTGCTTCTGGGTCAGAAGCAGTACCCCAGAAATGTGTGTTGCCCGCTTTCTGCTGAGCAGACACCCTTAACAGCGGATGCTCATCCAGTGTGGGTGATGCAGGCCTGGCCATAATCCCTTTCCTCACCCTCTGGCCGAAGGTGACACCCACTCACACCACTGGTCTCCTCACCAACGCGCAGAAGCACACGGGGCAAAGGCTGTG